ATTCTTATCTCAGCCAAGCATATTTATCCAGATTTCCCCTCGCTGTGAATCCACATTGCCAGATTGTTTCTTTTCTAGGAATTTAGAATCGTCCGTTGTTTATCTTTTATCACAAACCGATCCAATTTGGAATCGCCACAGCTCAGGGGAATGACCTCTATAGGCCCAGAGAGGAAAGGAGAAAGTGCAGACAACCTCCTCCAGAAAGGCCCTCTCATTAGACACAGCTCATCGGCTGATACTCTACAAGCTCCACAGAGGCACTGTTATTGTTTTACCATACAGTACGATGTAAAGTCAACATATGTATATTTCAAAGCTCCCTTATTTTCCATTTGCTCACCATTCGAGAACAAAGACAGCGTGTTTATCAAAAGGTTACTGCCTGAGCTGCACGGGAGCCCTGTACTTACATTTTTTACATTCTTATTCTAACTCTGCCAGTTAAAACGCATTTATCTTTAAACCTTCAAATACAGCCCCATGGTAAAGGCAACAGCCCCACGTCAGGCTGTAAGCTCTGTGCAGAATCCCTTGTAAGACAAATGGACCGAGTCTGGAGGCCATGTTACTCAAACACTGCCCAGCTGAAAAGCCAACATTCGCCATCGCCGAAAAAACTTGAAGAACTGGATTGTAGGGGACCTGGGAAAGATTTCTTTCCCACACAACAGAATGTTATCATTCTAAGGAGCTAATGCAAAGGTCACGATAACCTTTCGCAAATGCATAGAGTTAACTCCCAGGAGGAAATCTGTGCAGGGAATGGTTAGAACAGCAATCAATTCTGTAAAACTGTACTGTCAGGCATTATCAATGATTTTGGAAAAGTTTCAGCAACATTTATCCTTGTTAACATTTTAGAAGAGCCTCCAAACTGCAAATTCCAATTTAATATATACAGTACGTTATTTGCAATTCCTTTACCATGAAGGTTTCCACGTCATTTAAACCTTTTGTTGAAACACTTAAACCGAATTGCATGTCGTTTTTTTTTAACAGATAAGGGATACCTGTTTAATACCACAAAGCATAACACGTTGCCTAAACGCTATTTCGTTAAAATATATTGGAATTATTCACAAGAGGCTATTTCACTCGCGCTGGGCGCTCGCAGACGCCGCAGGTAGGTCAGGCAGGTACAGGACGAATTCGGGCATTGCGCCCAGTGCACATTCGCAGTAATACAAAGCTATTTACGCTTTCCACAAAAATTGCCAACACCCCCTCCATTAAGTGACCTTACGGTTAGGCCATCTTAGGAAACAGTTTTCCCGGCTGGAAATCCCCCGAGCGTGACTGAGGCCACAGCGGAGTCTTTCCTGACGCCGCGCTTCGCTTCGGTTGAACACCTGTCTGGTCTTCGACCGGCCCGACGGGTTGTCCGACGAGGCGCTTGACGACGGAAAGTGAAACACCTCACAGCCTTCGTACAAACTATGAAGCTATAATATGCGATGGTGCCGGTCAACCATTTTCCCCTTAGTTTCTAAGACAGACGTGCTCCTATTTTGGGACTGACCTCATGTAAACAGAGGTGGTTCCCTTTCTGGCTTCCTAGAAATGTAGATATTCACATTTAGACCATAGAACAAAAATCAGCATTGCGAATCGACACTGAATAACAACAGTACGTTTAAAGTTAAAATACCTATTTTCCCTGTAAGTATTGTCTAGGTTGTAAGCGCTCTGTGATTAACAATGACGACACTGAATTAATGCGAATACAGTACGCAAGGACGCAAGGATACATTTTGGGATCGGCTCCCTCCCAACACAGGACTGACGGGTTTACGTGTCCTGAACATTTAAGTAAAAAAACACAAGCAGGCAGACAGCTTCATCGCTGACACAATTTTGACTTCACGCAGGGTACTTACCCATAGCGCTGACAGTCCTCAGCAAAGTAGAAATGAGGACAGAAAAAGACAGAGCTCTGATCCTCCCGGCCAGCGCAGCGTCCCTCATTTTATTCAAAACCCCTCAATCTTGTTCACGAACAGCAGATGATCGGCGTTAAGGCGGGGGAAAAAACTCAGACCAATTGAGTTAAACAAAAAAGAAAAAACAAGCATTGGCTTTTTAAAGCGATTGAAGTCTTGCTTCAGCAGTACGGCGACACTTCCTATATGACTGACTCGCACACAGGGGCACATGAGACGTCGACGCGTGTGGGGCTGGGTTTCTGCTCTGAGCTCACCGACGCGACTGGAGCGGAGAGAGAGAGCGCAGGATCCAGTTTACAGCCTCCACACAGTACCTCTCTGCCCCTGTAATTCTTTCTCATTCCTCACCAGCGGTGGGAAAATATATATTTTTAAAAAATAATCCATTAGACTTAGAAATGACTTGTATAACGGATTTCTTTGTTAAAATATTGAGTGGTCAGAGAAAATTGATTTTAAGAGCATGGTGTATTGCTAGACATAGTAATTCTACACGCCCCCACGCACACATAAAGTCTTGTTAATGTTAAAAGTAATCATTTGCACAAGCTACCTGTGACTGTAATAGTGGATTACACTATTTTACTTAGACCCAGTAGTCAACACTTTCGATTTCAATGTTTGTATCACCACACAGATTATAAAACGATCATAAACTGCAGAAGTTTATCAGGAGTCACTTGCTCTGGATTCGACCATTTTTTCCCTCTCTTGTGTATTGGTCCATATGAGAAGTTGGTGATTGTATTGTGACAGCTGCCAAGATAATGCGCTGATCGAAAGATTTTTGTTTTGAATCATTTCAATTTTTAGCTTTTGTTCAAAAATAACTCAAAATATATGACCAGGCAGAACATGGTGGAGACATATTCTCCCAACCCCTGACGATGGTATTGATTTTCAATAGTTGTGTACAGCCTGTACTTCAACACTAAACTTCAATTCAGTTAATTCACATGAATAATGAATCATGGACACTCACCGTGTGTTCACTAAAGTCAGCAGCATTTTTAAAAGTCATTCATTAGAATAGGTGGGTAGCTGTGTCAGCATGCGTAGGCTGCAAAGGAACGAGTAATTGGTTTATTCCATGTTGGAAAAAAGAAGAAAGAAAACACAACGTTTCGGCCGTGTTGCCTTCTTCAGGTTGCGGACAAGGCTCAACTTTGCTTAGCCTATTCAGAGCAACCTCCAAAATTTGTAGCTGCCTGATTTTATATAAAGTTTTTATACCAATTTATACAGCCAGAGACAGTCTACAGCATGGGTATTCCCAGCTGGGTTTCAGTTTCATCCCCTAGCCTGCGAGTCAAGAGTCCAGATACCCTAACCCCTGCCTAAAGGACTAAAGCTGCCTTTTCTCTCCTGTAAGTGCGTCAGACAAATGTGGCGGACCTGAAGAAACGAACATTCGAGATAGGAAAATCCCCTAAACTTCCACCCAGGATCACAAGTCAGAAGTCTATGGATTTGACTACAGATGCACACTGTCCTGCATCGCACAGATCTGGATGGACTGTCTAAAGGAAGCTGAGACAAGTCTGAGCCCCTGAGCAGGGAGTAGCAGGGGAATGCGACTGCAGAGGAAATGATCCACATTGTAAGGAAGTGACCGCTGTCAGGGGGTTAGGTACGCTGCACATCAAGCAGTCCTGGGCTCTTACTGACGCTGTGGACACACATTGATGGTCAGATGCAGCGCAGTCTTGCACTTGTATCAGGAGGAAAATGTATAAGACACTCCTGTAAAAGACAGCAGCAGCACAGTAGATGTTGCACGATCTGGTGTTGTGTTGCAATCTCTGTTCTGTGACAGCCAGAGACTGACCTCCATTATTTCCCCTACTGTACTTCCACAGACTGCAGGCTCCTTTCTCTGAATGATTTGACCCCTAAGCAGCTGCCAGGAGGGCTCCTTTCCCTGATACTCTTTATATGCACAGTGTGCACAAGAGTGCAGATCGCCATCTTCTTTCAGAATTAGGCCATATTAACTGGCCATAATAACAGCAAGTAGGAGCAGAAGGAGGAAAAGAAAAGGTGTCTCTTTGGAACAGTATAGATATAGTAAACTATAGACAAGTAATAGGTTTGTTCCATGCTGAAAAGAGAAGAAAGTAAACATAACTTTCGGCTGTGGAGCCTTCTTCAGGTGTCCACGATGCAGGAAGAAGGCCGAAGGCCAAACCTGAAGAAGGCTCCATGGC